GTAAACTGTAAGTTCTTTAGAAAAGTTCGCCTGTTCCTCCAGAAAATCCTATATTTTCTGATGTGATGAATGATAAGTAAAAATGACTCTACAATTTCTTCTATGAGTACTAAATGGATACAAGTTATATATAATCCAGAGTAAACAGACAATCGATTGTGTGAATCTGCCCTAAGCCCACAACCAAACAAGGAACAGGAAATGAGGTGGAAGTCACACATCCCATTGTCTGTTAGATCTTCACTATATATAACCCTGGCATATTCATTTGGTACTTACGGAGTTAACTGTAATAGCTCTATTATATTTGATGAAAACATTCTTTAAGAAAATCATATATTTCCTTTAGTAAAATGGAAACCACAATAGTTCCTTCTATAATCACTTAGTTTATACTAGTTATATATAATCTAATATCGAACGGACAGTTAAATGTGTGAATATGACCTAAGCCCACAACCAAACAAGGAACAGGAAGTAAGGCGGAAAGCACACATTTCACTGCCTATCGGATGTTAATTATATATAACCCTGATGTATAAGCTAAGGTATTATAGAATTAGCCATTTAAGGTCCTTTAAGTTATACTGGTTTAATAATGCGTATCAAACCTTTTACAGATAAGTTTCTAGTTTCACCTACTTAATGTTCTATCCGAAAAGTATGTTTTTGTACTAGAAAGCGGTACACTGAATTTGTATGCTATGACCTGACCCATATCTGTTATTCCCTATGATTGCTTGGTGTATACAGGATATATATATATATATATATATATATATATATATATATATATATATATATATATATATATATATATATATATACATATATATATATATATATATATAGCTAAGATCGAATAGATAGTAGGCTGTATGAATCTGCTCTAAGCCCACAACCAAAGAAGGAACAGGAAAACGAAGCGGAAAGCACACATCCTACTGTCTGTCGGATCCGATTAATATATATCCCTACTGTATCTACCGAGGAATAATAAGGTTAGCATTATAGGCCCCCTTCTAACTGAATGTACCAAGACCCGACTGCTTTGTTTGTTGATCTCTCGTAAGAATGTATGTTTTCCCAAGTTTATGACTATCTTTACAAGAAAATAGTTTGCATTACCTTTTATGTGAGAATATCACTATATGAATGTAATGGGAAAATGAAAGTGTACAGCAATGCTTTATAAAGCAACTACTGAAGCACTAACTACCTTAAAACCAATTTGTTAATTAAGGTTAAAATGTGATGTGGTTATAACCATGCTGATTGACTAGTATGTAACACGACGACCCGCTGGCGTCGAAACTAATGTGACATTTGTCACCCCTTGGCTTGTCTGCCAGACTGTAGCTAACAGTTGGGATGTGGGATTGTCAGTCCCGTATATATCTCTACACACAATTCCCGCTCTCCATCCAGGAGACTCTAGTTACAAAACGTGACATAACAAGTATATTGTTATGCCGTGAAGTAATAGTTTCACATTATTGTTATCTTGTTCTTGTAAAAGTATGTATGTTCCTTTCTGTTCTTGTTATAGTATGTTCCTTTTTGTTCTTGTTATAGTATGTTCCTTTCTGTTCGTTTTATAGTATGTTCCTTTCTGTTCTTGTTATAGTATGTTCTGAACCCCTAAACTATACCTATTATAGTTTACTAGTATGTTTGTTTTGAACTGTCCCTGATTTGTAGAAAAGACTCGATTATCTACTGAGTAATGCATGTATTTAAAAAACGGAGTTTTATAGACAATAATCTAACATCATTTAAAATAGTTTTTGAATTGATTTGATCACTTACAAAGCATAAGAAATCCTTAAATGTGATGGTTATCACAGGTAAATATTAACACAATAAAATTGTGTTCAACTTGTATTCCCCCCTTAAAAGCATTTAAAAACATTTAAAAGATTGATTATATGGGTATGAACTCACCTTATGTGGGTGATTCAATTGAAGATTCGAATAAGGATGATAAGTTCCACGAATGAAGTCCGAGACACAAACGATTCCTAAATGACATATAATGATACATATTGGCATGTAATTAGTGAGTCTAACTACAAAGGAGAGTGGGAAACAACCTAGGATGCAAGAATAACTCACCAAAGGAGTGTTAGAAGCAAAATAGGAGGCTGGTAGGGTGTTCACGACCCACTTGATGAGTGGTTCACGGCCCACTTGAGTGGTTCACGACCCAACTTGATGTTCACGGCCCAACTTGATGAAGAACACTTGAAGATCTTGGTGTTTTGGTGAGTGTTTGAAGATCCTAGTAAGCTTCTATGAAGTAGCAAAGGAAAGGGGTGTTTAGGAGTGAAAGATGGTGTTCTTGAACTATGATACTTAAGAGAGAATGGAGTGATGCGGTCAAGAGAAGAAGAAGTGAAGGAAAAGTGGCTAAAACTCATCTATATACCATGAGTTCACGGCCTAAGAGGGGTTCACGGCCGTGAACATGGTCCTTGGTCGTGAACCTCACTTGTTGAGGTTTTATGGCTCAAATGTTGTTGTAGGCTCTTGGTTCTTACGTGGTTCACTTCCTAACACGCAACCCTTGTGTATACTAGGCTTATAACTCATTAAAATGACCCTTAACAAGGCTAAAATGTAAGAGAAACAAGTATGACTTTTGATTGATTGAATTGACTTTACAAGATAGAAATTTACGGGTTGTCACAAAACTTTAACAGATAAGGTAACACGGTGAATCAAACATAATAAATAATAAAACTATATAAATCCAACTAGAAAATCAAACCACAATATTAATGGTCCATCTATATCTAAGAGGATGAAAATGGTATTACCTCATAATCAGTATATGAGAACATAAAATCATCAAAAAGGAATTGCTAAAAACTATTATAAAACAAACCGATTTGTAGTCCTAATGCTCCTAGCTTTTGATTCTTCAAATCTCCGATCGAAAGTGCTTCTCCAACCTTGAAATTGACCCACAATATTTTTTGACGAATAATATTCGTAAGGTATCTATGTATGAGTTGGGATTGATGGGATATCAATTTACGGTAAAAAGATCGAGTATTTAAAGAATTTATGAATCTGCGTAGTGACCATATATTTTTCACATCGTGAATACAGGTTTCCAAGTTGTACAAAAATTCAGAGCAGAACTGAATTCACTTTTTTTTATTGAATTTTATTTATTTTATTTCACTACAATTTCTAGTTTAATTCTAACAAAAATCTCCCCTTTATGTTTTATGTTTTTTTTATGAGTATGTGCCTTGCGCAAAGAGGAATTGTCTTTTAGGCTGTGTTCCTAAGGATTCGACCCTACTCCCTGTGTTATCCTTTAGTGCATTAGAGCAGTGATTTTTTATTTGTTTAAAACGTCCGCAACAACGCTCTAACAACCACCAACATTTTAATTTTTTTTTCGTCCATATCTTTTCACTATTTCACATAAAACCCCTACATGTTTCAGATAAATACCAATTTGAGGCTAGGTTTTATAAAAGTCTGAATTTATGATTATGTAACATTTTCACCATGATATGTAGGAGATTCCAATCAATACCTACTTTTTTCTATTTTTCTCTTGCATAATCACACACATCACTTAAACCTATAAGGTTTCAAGTCAAAAACAACTTGAGCCAAGGTTTTACAAAGACTGAATTTATGATTATATATCATTTTTACCAAGATATGTATGAGATTCCAACCAACACATAGTTCTTTCTAAGTATGTCTTGCATATTCACACATTTGCACTTGAAACCCTTGAGGTCTCAAGTACAACCAACTTGAACCAAGATTTAACACATTCTAGTTTATTATTCTAATAATTATTACCATGATTACGATATGACTCTTCTTTACCGTGTTCTGGTTACGATATGGAATTCTCTTTGAAGTAACACTGGTCATAATTCCAGTGGATGGACTCAGTGCTTACGAAACTACTACAAACCGAATTGGCATGTTCCTATCCTACAAACAGATCTTTAGTAATTTTTATGCGCATGCTTTTATGTGAACACATTGGAAGACAAATGTTTTATTTCCATTTATGATACGCTGAGCTGGCAAGTTCTTGTTGGTTATCTTTTATCATAATGATGGGCGTGATACTCAAGTCGGGCATATGATTGGATGGGTAATTATGGAATGTATTTGGTGGTTTCTCTCTCCTACAATCCCAAAATTTTCAAATTCAATTTCGATTTTTTCCTTGCATATACGTATAAATGCCCAAATTGTAGTCGATTAACTTCTTTACGCATTCAGATGATTCTAGAGCATTGCGAGTTTTCTCATATATTCTTCAATTCTATGTGTGTTTCTTTTACTTAATTACCAATGGAATCTTCTGCTAATCATGTTTCCTTTATAGATCAGTCTGCCTCATCAGTTCATCTTGTTTTCAAGCAACATCAGAACTTGATTGCCGATCTTGAAGCATCGAAGTATTCTACTAAGATTCAACCATAGATTGAGTGTTTCAATCATTCCATTTTGAAGAGGGAACTCACACATCATGAAGATGTTCCTTTTTTTCTTTAATTATAGCATATACAACAACAATTTTCAATAAGAAAATGGATGTGATGAATTTCGATGTTCAAGGGCACAAAACGACGATTACCAAAACTGCCTTATGCAAATTGTTAGGATTAAGAACTGGTGATGCATATTTAAATCCTTATTTGGTTTCTTCTCCGAGCATAATTAGGGTTTATTATTAAATGGGGTATAAATATGATTTGCTTATATTATCCAAATTTAAGAAGTCTTCACTACCACCTATTTGGAATGCCCTTTTCACGATACTGTTCATATGTTTTTCAAAAAGGATTAAAGGTTCTGATAATACCAACAAACTATTCAATACGCTGTTATACGTATTATATACAGATGAAAAGATTATTTTAGGTCAAATTCTTTGGGTTCAGTTCACTCAAAGTCCCTCTTCTTCTTCGAAGGATTCTAATATTTCTTGTGCGCGATTTTTGTCTATTGTCATGAAGAACGCTCATGATCACTTGAAAGTTCCACAAATGGAAGATGTGCAACTTGTGAAGTTCTTGATGTTTAATACTACAAAATTTGTTACAACAGATGCAAATAACTTTAATTATATTCGGGCTATTTCGGATGTTATGTTGCACAAAGTTCTTGCGAGCAACAAGATTATTTCCATTTACAAACAGATACCTAAGCCAGGTAAAAGATATATGAGTCCTTCTATGAAAGCATCTTTGGAGACTGAAAATGTTCAATAAAAGGTTGGTGGAAAGAGAAAATCTAAGGCATTTGATGAGATGTTTTTGCAAAGCAAAAGTCTCAAAGGAAGTTGAAAAAGAAATCCAAGATCTCTGTTGTAGATGAAGAGAACACGGTTAGTGATGTTCGTATTGATGATTATGTTAATGATGATGATAGTGCGAGATCATCAAATCCCAAAAATTTGAAGCAACCATATACAAAAAGCATACAAACTCGGACTACGAACCCTGAGTCTTCACAGATTGCAAAGGTATTTGTTGTTTCTACGAACACTTCAACTCCGATACATGTTCAAACTGAGAATGTTTTTTTTCTTCAAAATATCATCAATGAGCCTATTGTGAATCTTTCTCAAACTCAATCACCACCTGTTCCACATATTTCTCCACTACCAACAACTTCTCAACCTCAAACCACTACCATTCAGGTTCCTATTCCACTGGTTTCATCTACATAAAAAATCATTTCATTTCAAACTCCTATTTTCACAGACTCTACTACTTAACCACAAACATCAACAATTCTAAGTGAACCCATTCAAACCACTCTTGTTCAGTATAACACAACACCATCATGTGATGATGATGATGATGAGTTCGCAGTCACTGATGATGATGAAGTTGAAGTCATTAGTTCATTTCAACCATTTGTTGAGCTTGTTATCGCTCCATCACTTGTGGATGATGAGAGTGATTTGGATGATACTTCTGTTGTTTCTCGTATTACTAAGAAAGAATATCAACTTTTGAACAAGAAGTTGAATGTTCTTGTTCGTAGAGCGGATTCTTTTTCTCCGACCAATATTCAAAACTTGATGCTTATTCATGAGAATTCAATGAAGCCAATTCTTTCGGAGAACGAGAGGTTATTTGATGCCCAGGAGAAGTTAATAAGTGATTCTTCTGTAAAAGTTAATGAAGCTCTTTCCAAAGCTGCTGCAACATTATCAAAAGTTGATTATGTCATCACAGAGGGTGAAACTTTGAAAGAATCCATTATCTCTGTGAATTTAAGCCATCATCAAACTGTCGTTGGTGCCCTCAACACTCTCGTTGATCATTATTATACATAAGCAAAAATGGTGGATCTTTTGGCAAAAAAGGAGAATAAAGTAAAATCAATTAAGTTGGAGTTGAGACAAGTCAAGAAGGATTTTGAGAAAAATGATGAAGAGTTGTTACTTGTTAAAGGAAGAAACTTTGAAATTAACCAATGAGTCATTCTCATTGTGGAAGAGAAAGATGATCCCCATGTCAATTATATGTGATATGTCTAAAATGCTGGATACAAAACTCAATCCTATTCATTCGCAACTATATGCGCTAAAATGTGTTATGAGTAATGAGGATACTTCACAAGAAGGGGGAGAGGAAGTAGTTCAATAAGATATTCCTCAAATTAATCTCACAAATCCATATCTTGTCCCTCAAAGGACCAAGAAAGATGATTCTCCAAAGGTTAATATTGTTGATAGGTCACTTAAATGGAGAATGGAAGAGATCACTCCTGAATTTCCAATTAATATGGGAGGAGATGTGGGAACAAGTTCTGTAAGAATTATTTCACATAAGGAAGTTGATCCAAGTGATGCAGAGGCTGAGAAAGCAGCTAAATTAAATAAAGATGAAGTGATAGACAAAATGAAGCAACTACAAATTGAGTTAGACAGGCAGGATGATGAGAAATGAGAAAAGGAAGCAACTGAAGATACTCTTAAAGCTTTATGGCCAAAATGTACAAATGAAATAATTCAAAATGTAGCCATAAAGGAAGTTGAAAAATATTGGCGTGATCCAAATTCATCATTTGTTGTTGATAATTTAACTTATTCTCAGTTAGATCTTCCGATGACTTGTAGAGCATTTCTTTTCAGATGTTTTCAACATATGAACAATGTTCCATTGTCAAATAGTGCTGCGAATAAGAAACTTTTTAAGTTCTATGTTACCTATTCAAAGCCTCAATATGAAGTATGGAATGTGAAGAAGATTAGTGTTGTCAAGAAGATTGAGGAAGTAAGGTTGTGAGACTTTACCAATTACAAGTTCACTATTTTGAGAGGATTAAACAATAAACAATTAGTGTTTACTTTTGCTGATCTTCCAATTATGAATCCCTATGATTGGATTGTACTGTCTTGTATGTTGAAAAAGCATGAATCCAAATTCGGTTCTCAAATCCAACATTTGAAGAAAATGACCAGATTATATGTCATGGAATTAAGCAAGATAGATAACAGAAAACAATTGATGATTTATTGAGATCAAAATACAAAGTATATAAATCTAATAGACCATATATTACAGACAGAAATGAAGGAGAAACAAATCAGTGAAGAGTCGAAGGTTCTTTCTTCTCTTAATCAAAAAGCCTCTCTAAAGAGACAACTCTATGTCGAAGCAAATGTTGTGAATTAAAATGTAAAATACCCAATTATCTCATTATTCCTATGAATATTACTATTTATGCTAGCTAAGGATGCTTCTAGAATAAGATGCAAAATATAAAATGAGACATATTGCAATTAATTATGAGGCCAAAATATAAGGATTTTTATGGAGTTTTCTGTATCTATCAAGCAATAAAAGAGAGTAGATTGTGATATGATTCTAGATGGATGACAAAGAACAAATCGATGAAGGTTAGGTTTAAGGGAATTAGTGTTTATCTCAACAAAAACTAAACCCAATCAAGATAAATGACTACTTGAATCGGTTTCATGGGTTCCATCTCTCATTGTTTTGGTTTTTTCAACAATAGAGGTCACAGAGGAAGGAAGCATCAGGGGAGGAAGGAGGTAGCCAACAAGGAAGTATTAGGGGAGGAAGGAGTTAGCCAACAATGAAGTATCAGGGGAGGAAGGAGGTAGCGAGCAGGGGGGATTGGAATTGATTTATTTATTTTTATTTTTTTTAGAGTTTGAGGATTTTTGTTTGTCTTTAATTTTAAACTTTTGGTAAGTTGGAGTTCAAAAATAAGGTTTTTGTTTCAAACTTGGTGTAAGACTCATGTATTACATGAGTTTTTCTAAAAGAATGAATAAATATAAAGTTTTAACAATTTGAGAAAATTGAATTTATAAAAAAAGTGAGAAAAAATTTGAATTATTAAAATTAATGAGGCTTTAATACATTAATGAGAAAAAATTTGAATTATTAAAATTAATGACACTTATACTTATTAATTTACACCTATGCACGTCTCGTCCATTGTAAAAACCCTAGAAATTAGGTGCCGCAGTAGTACGTATCCAAAATCAAAATGTCAGACCATATCCCTTTTCATATCCAGCAGGAAATCCTCAAGCGGCTTCCTGTAAAATCATTGATTGAGTTCAGATCCGTCTCAAAAGCATGGAAGTCTTTGATCGATAGCTCGGACTTTATTACTGCTCACAGCCTCCTGCATGCTCAGCCGCAGCATCTGCTTCTAAGGCACCGAGATTGGCATCATCCACTGAAGAAAATCTATGTTTCTTTACTCAATGAAGCCACTTTCCCCCAACTGAGGATTGTTCAAACTTGTCCCCGCTCCATTAGACGATTTGATTTTCCAAAAATAATCGGTAGCTCTCACGGTTTGTTATGTGTGCACGATAGTTATTCGGAGGTTGTTGTTTGGAATCCCTCGATTAGAAAATCGATTGCAATTCAGTTGCCTTCTATGACATATGACAGATTTTTATTTTTTCTTTGTTTCGGGGTATGTCCAGTCACTCTTGATCCCAAGATTATCAAGATTACACAATTTGGTCAGTGGTGTGAAAAGAAAAGAAAAATTAGCAAATACTGGAAAGTTATTGTTTATACTTTCAGCTCAGGGGAATGGAGAAAACTTTCTTACAACAAAGAGCGTAGGAAATCAGTTTTACATAAACATACAGGGCCTCAGGTAATAATTGATAGGTTTATCTATTGGTCTGCATTATACCCCCCGAGACCACAGTATCGTAATCTGATAATGTCATTTGATCTGACTAATGAGAGTTTTGAAGTCATAGACCTCCCACATAATTTAGCATGCCATCCTCACAATCAGTTGTCCATTTCTAAGCTGGGGGAGTCTCTTGTCATTCTTGAATCAAGTAAAAACAGCGACAACAAATTAGTGTTTGTTGTATGGAAGATGGAGCATAATGTTCAAAGATCATTTACAAAGCTATTCACCATTGAGGCACAACATGAATCAATTGCGAAGGTATTGGGATTTAGGGAGAGTGGCCAACCTATAATGGAAGTGAAAGATGATGTTTCTAAAAAGAGTAAACTTGTTGTATATGAGCCCAACTCAAAGAACTTCTCTGACCTTGAGATTAGTGGAGTTTCTGATGAATTTTATGTGAATTCTTACGAGGAAACACTACTTTTGTTTGATAGGTCTATTGTATTAGTTATTGAAATGATCACATTATCTCATACTTTTGTTGATAGTGGATTAGATTTTTTTTTTTTTTTTTTTTGAAACGGCAAACTAACTAACCTACTACTCCTAAATAACCACCTATGTCTCCATCGAGACTCGAACTCATGACCTCTCATATGAGAGGGTCACTCCTTACCGCTAGGCCATTGACCCTTTGGTTGATAGTGGATTAGATATGTTTACTAATCTCAATAGGTAGTAGAGTAATTAATCTAGATTACAAGCATTAATGTGATCACACATAACGTAGAGTATGAATGCACAAAATAATTGAGGCTACTCAAAATTGCTATGTCCTTGGCTTGCATATTTTTTGCTTCTGTCATTTATAATTGCTTACCACATATAAATGCTTATAAAAAGGAATTTTAAATGGTTAGTTATCAACAAGTGATAGGAATCGATGTTATATTGCTTCTACCACTAACCATCAAAAGGAATTTGTCCCACGGTCTGTTTATATTGAGTATTATCGAGTCGTTTTTATCTTTTCTTGTTCTAAATACCGCAAATGATCATGTGGAAAGATTTATTTTAGGACATCATATTCATAAAAGTTCAGATTTTTCTTAAAATCTTGTAATTTGAAATGGAAATGGTGTATGCTTGGGTGCATGGTTCTGTGCAGGTCTATGATTTGATTAATTGTATGTTCATTTCAATTAATATACACCACACACAAGCTCTGAATTATTTTTAGACAAATATACAAAACAATTATTTTAATTTATATATACCTAAGTCATCAACCAAGTTTGTTTCATACCCTAAAGGAAACTCAGAATTTTAAGAGGAACACTTAACAATTGAAGCTCTCTTGACACATTTCGCCACTTAGTTCATCACTTTCTACATTAGACTACCACCACGAGTACAATGACCATATATAATACCTATTCGTAACAGCCAACCAATTCATATGAGGAGTGGAATCATATAAATGATGTCTCCGGATCAAACCTTTGACTCTAATGTTTCACGATTTACCTATCATGTAATGAAGTTGTGGGAGGGATCCTAAACTATATTTGTTGAGGCAACATTTGGACCGTCATAATGTAGTGTCATAAGACATAAATATCAATGTATTAAAAAAACATTACTAGCTAAATTTGATTGAGTTATTAATACAAAAGTCCATTATTTTTTATAGCATTTTGTGTGAAACCATACATATAAACCGATAAGCTTTGCAATAACGCATAAGAAATATAATCTGGGAGGTTATATGTCATTAGAACGCTACCTCCAATAAAATAAGTATAGATCCGCCCATGACTATAATTCTTACTACATGTAATGCTAAATTTGATTGAGTTATTTATTCATCAGTTCATATTTTTATGGGTAAATTACACCAATCGTCCCTCGTGCATATGCTAGAAAGCGTGTTTAGTCCCTATTTTCAAAAATTAACTCAGTCTGTCCCTCGTTTGCTTAAAATTTGCGTGCTTCGTCCCTTCGTACATAAAAAGACTATTTTGCCCTTAATAATTTCTTTTTCAATTTTCTTTTATTTGTTTATAAACTTTAAATTTCAAGAAAATAATAAATAAATAAATATCTCCACTTGATAAGACCTCCCCCTTCCCTTTCCTCATTTTCCTTTCGTCCCCCCAAACTCACCTGAAACAAAAATGGCAGACTGCCTCTCTCTACTCTGCTTCCGTCTCTCACTACTTCTCCGAAGATAAAACCTTATTACGACTCTACAACGCTAGATCCATCGACATCGTTGTGGAAAATAACTATGTTGCCTCTCCTGTCTTTGTATCTGTAAATTGGATTCAAACGAGAGACGTTGATAACGATGAAGTCGCCTTCAACGATTACACTGTCGAACGGAAACCTGCAACCCTAAATTTTCCATCACCTTAGTGTTGATTTCCGATAGGGGATCCGGAGGGGTTGTGTGTCGATATCAGTTGATTTTCCGAAGTATGCGAGGGGTTGTGTGTCGATTTCCGGTGGGGGTTTGATTTCTCTTAAGACCACCACAGTAAACCCAACTTCAAACTCTGATTTAGGGGTTGTGTTTCTTCTGATTATATTTGAGCAAAATGATTTTGGGTTTTGGATTTAATCAAACTAATTTTGCCCTAATTCTGAGTAGATTTAGGTTTGTGGTTTTTCTAAGATTGTTACATCAGATTATTGTTTTAATTTTGTTTGCTGGTGGTAGTTGATAGCAATGGAGGTGGCAGATGTGGTGTTTGAGGGTGGAGGTGGATTTTTCCAGTAGTGATGATGGAGCGGTGACAGATTGTGTTCGAATGGGTTTTTTTTTTGGTTTGTTGGTGTTTGTACAGGATGGTGGCGGTGGTGGTCTTAAGCTTTGAACAGGTGGTATAAGGAGGAGGTGAAAGGTGGCTTGATGGAAGCAGGGTGGTGGTCTTGAGCTTTGAACCGGGGAGTTGGGTGGTACAAGGTGTTGGTAGATTTCCGATGGTAGTTGTGCAAGTTTCTATTGGTGGTGTAGATTTCAAGTGATGGTGGTAGCTAGGTGGACCCATAATCTTAATTAAAATATTTATTAATAATTAAAAAGAACGTAAATGTCAAATAAATGAAAAAGAAATTACAAAGGGCATTTTAGTCATTTCATGTATCACAAGGGATGAAATATACAAATTTAAACTAATGAGGGATGAAGCGTGCACCTTTCTACCATATAAGGGACTACCATATAAGGGACTGTCTGAGTTAATTTTTTAAAATAGGGACTAAACACGCTTTCTGGCATATGCACGAGGGACGATTGGTGTAATTTACCCTATTTTTATTGTATTTTGTGTGAAAATCTTCATGTAAATCAATACACATTACTATATGAAACAAGAAATATAACCTAGGAGGTTATATTTCAATAAAGGCTATTGCAACTAACCAAATAAGCATACATCCGCCCATGATTATAAGTCTAAACATTGCATGTTAAATTTTGTTATGTTATTAGTGCAATAATACATACTTTTTACAGTGTTTTGTGTGAAATGATACATATAAACCACTACACTTAACAATAACACGAAAGAAATATAACATATGAGGTTATATATTTTATTAGAGGCGGCTGCCCCCAATCAAACATTGTAGATTCGTCAATAACTATGAGTATAAATCACATTACATGCTAAATTTAATTGAGATATAAATGCAAAAATCCATACTTTTTATAGTATTTTGTGTGAAATTATACATGTAAATCAGTACATATTACAATAACACAAAAAATATAACTTAGGGAGTTTATATTTCATTACATGCGATTGCGCCCAATCAATTAATTATCGATCCACGTATAACTATAAGTATAAAGTACATTACACGCTAAATTTGATTGAGTTATTAATGCAAAAGCCATAGTTTCTATAGTATTTTTTTTATAGAAGTATTCATAAATCAAAACACATTACCATATCATTTAAGAAATGTAACCTACGAGTTAAGTATCGATTCGTCTGTAACTATGAGTCTAAAATACATTACATGTTAAATTTGATTGAGTTACTAATGAAAAGGCCATACCTTTTATAGTATTTTGTATTAAAGTATTCATAAATCAAAACATGTTACTATATCACCTAAGAAATATAACCTATGGGGTTATATTTCATCAGGACTGCTACCATCAATCAAAATAACTACATATTTTCCATTGACTTTATGTTTAAATCACATTAGATTCTAAACTTGATTGAGTTATCAATGCCCCAATCTTTTTTATAGTACTTTGTATAAAAGTGTACACATAAGAAATATAACTTGGGAGGTTATATTTCATTCGATGTTCTTTCCCCGAATCAAATAAGTGTATGTCGGCACATGATTATAAGTTTTAACTACATTACATGCTAAATTTGATTGAGTTAGTAATGCAAGAGCCCATAATTTTTATAATATTTTGTGTTATAGTACACAATAAATAATATATTTTACAGTAACACATAAGAAATATAAACTACGAGGTTATATTCATTGGAGGCGGTTGCGGATAATCAAAAAAGTATAGATTCGTTCATGACTATAAGTCTAAATTAACAACATATTATTTTCTATGAAAATATACATATAAAACATAATAAACATAAGCTAGAAGGTTATATTTCATTAGAGGTGGTTGTCACTAATTAAATAAGCATATGTTTACCCATGACTATAATTATAAAATACATTACATGCTAAATTTGATTACCTTATTAATGCAATAGTCTATACTTTTATAGTATTTTGTGTGAAAATATACATATAGACCAATACATTTTACAATAACATATACTACTTATATTTCATTAAAATTGATTAAACTGCTTACAATAGTCTATACTACTTATTTGATTGGCAACAACCACCTCTAATATTAGAGGTGGTTGTCGCCAATCAAATAAGTATAGATCTTCTAAAATTCATTGCATGCTAAAATTGATTAAACTGCTAATGCAAAAATCCATACTTTTTATAGTATTTTATATGAAAGTATACATATAAATCAATACACATTACAATAACACACAAGAATTTTAACCTAGCTAAGAGGTTATATTTCATTAGAGGTGGTTGTCGCCATTTAAATAAGTATATATTTACCCATAACTATTAAGTCTAAAATACATTACAAATGTTAAAATTTGATTACGTTATTTAATGCAACAGTCCGTACTTTTTATAATATTTTGAGTGAAAGTATACATATAATTCAATACACCTTACAATAACGCATAGAAAAATACGTATAGAATTAGTCATGACTTTATACGAAAATTAAATTGCATGCCAAGTTTGATTGAGGTTTAATGAAACAATCTCTACTTATAGTATTTCGTGTAAAAGTATACATACAAATCAATAGGAAAAAGTTCAATAGAGAACCATAATTATTGGTTCTTCAAGGAACCAAATCTTTTTTTCAATTTCTAGAGTTTATTCTTTATCGAAAAAAAAATCTAAAAATATCTAAATTCATATATTAACATTGTGAATGTGAAAAATATTTTTCGGATTCACCGTGTGAATCCGGATTCACATTGTGAATTTTCAAAGATTCACATTGTGAATTTGACGTAAATATATATATATATATATATATATATATATATATATATATATATATATATATATATATATATATATATATATATATATATATATATATATCGAATTTGATATCATTGGAAAAAGGATAAAAAGTTATGAATTTCTGTATTTTTAATTTTTTTTTTATAAAAAATAAGTTCTAAAAGTTGAAAAAAAAATTGGTTCCTTGGTTAATTATGGTTCCCTATTGAACCTCACCCTAAATCAATATACCTTATAATACCATAGAAGAAATATGACCTGGGAAGTTATAATTTAGTAGAAGTGGATGCCCCCAATCAAATAAGTATAGATCCGCTCATGACTATAAGTCAAATATACATTACATGTTAACTTTGATTGAGTTATGAATGCAATGATCCATAATTTTTCCATTTGTGTGAAAGTATGCATGTAAATCAATGCAATTTGTAATAACATATATTAAATATAACATAGGAGGTTACATGTAATGTCCCAAATTTTCAACCAAATTTAATATCTGCGTAGTATGATTTAAAAAAAAATCAACGGTCAACGTGTCATGACTAGTTGTTGGTCGTATTAC